TGCACCAGCCACATTTCAGCGTTGTATGAATGGTTTGTTTAGACCGTGGCTAGATAGATTTGTAGTAGTCTACTTCGATGATATCTCTTGTGCTGAGGAACATGAGGGTCATCTAAGGCAGATCTTGGAGAAGCTACAAGAAGTTAACTTCAAGATCAACGCAAAGAAGTGCGAATGGGCTAAGACCGAAGTCCTTTACTTATTTCACGTGTTAGATGGAGACGATATCCGCCATGAGGACAATAGAATAGCATCCATTTGAGATTGGCCAACTCCTCACACCCTGATAGAGTTGCGATCGTTTTTTAGGATTGACTAACTACTTTAGGAAGTTCGTCAGGAACTTCTCCACTATAGCTGCTCCCCTGCGCAGACTACTAAAGAAAGAAGCTATCTGACAGTGGGACCAAGATTGTACCTCGGCCTTGAAGAAATTGAAGCCCTTAATAGAGGACCCTGTCCTCAAAGTCACCGATCCGTCATTGCCATTTGTCGTCACTACAGACGCTAGTCAGTATGGCATAGGCGCCGATCTACAGCAAGACGACGACAATGGCTATAGGCCCGTAGAGTTCATGTTAGCCAGGCTGCCCTCAGAAAAGGTAGCAGCTTTGACGTACGAGAGGGAACTCTACGCTCTCGGGCAGGCCCTAGATCACTAGAGGCACTACTTGCTTGGGAGGCACTTCAAAGTGTATTCGAACCACGAGATTTTAAGGTGGTTGAAGACTCGAACCAAGATGACGCCCAAGTTGACTAGATGGGCTGCTGAGATAGACAAGTTTGACTTCGAACTAAAGCCCATTAAAGGTAAGTACAATGTGGTAGCCGATGCTATGAGCAGAAGCGCAGATTACTTTGACATGATAGTGCACTATTTGGATGTGGGGGTGGACCTGCAGCAAAGAATAAGAGATGTGTATGCTCAGGACCCGATTTACAGCAAATTGATGAGACAAGTAAAAGAAAACCCACATAGCGAGCCACACCATCGAACCACGAACGGGTTACTGTTGGAGAAGACCAATGTTGTTGATGGATTGTGTGTCCCCAATAACGAGGAAATCTGTAGTATGATCCTAGGGGAATGCCATGATACAGAAGGGCATTTTGGTCGCCAAAAGACATTGGCCAACTTGATGATGTCGTGTACTTGGCCTGACATGAAGGCGGATTGCATAGAGTATGTGTGTAGCTGCAAAGTCTGCCAGCGCAATAAGACAACGACAAAGAACCACTAGGCCTTCTCAGACCCTTGCCTATTTCGTCAAGACCCGGAGAGTCAGTTTCCATTGACTTCATGGACACCGGGGTTAGAAGTAGGCACAGTAAAAGTCAAGTCGTGGTCATAGTAGATTGATTTAGCAAGTATGCAGTTTTTGTTCCGTTACCGTCAGAGGCACGTACAGACTTAGTGATAGAAAAGTTCTTTGACTTCTGGGTAAGTGAAAACGGTATACCGCTGTCCATAGTTCGCGATAGAGATATGCGATTTACTAGCCAGAACTGGTTCTGGCAGGATCTTATGAGAGTATACGGCTCTAAGCTATTGATGTCGCCAGGCCGTCATCCCGAGACAAACGGGCAGACAGAGCAGATGAATAAGATCTTGCAGCAACTACTTTGGATGTACATTAGACCGGATCAAGTGAACTGGGATCAGATGCTCCCAAGGGTAGCCAGTGCATGTGTTCATCTAGCTACGTGCCGAACTCCTACGAGCGACATAAGTCCTTTAGACCACGTAGGCCGTTTGAAGGACTGAACCTGGACCAGATTCAGAGGTTACCTTCCGATACAAGAGAGTTTGCTTTGCAACACAAGAAAGAAGTTGCTAGAGTCGTCGACAACCTTAGGAAGGCCCAGCTCCGCATGATTGAGCAAGCAAACAAGCATCGCCGAACTTCGCAGTTTCAGGTAGGCAACTTAGTCTGGGTCAAGTCTAAGGAAGTTGCACCAGAGGAGAACATCTGTCATAAGCTCTTACAAGCATATAGAGGACTGTGGCCTGTCCTAGAAATCAAGGGAGGAGAGGACGGACCATCGTACACGATAGAGATACCACCGCACATCCACACGTATCCAGTCTTCCATGCATCAAAGTTGTTGCCATGCACCACCAGCGAACAGTTTCCTTCGTGAAGGTCTATGATTCCGCCAGACATGGATGATGCATAAGATATAGATCACATAGTGGAAGAGGACGTTTTCAGAACCGGAGGTCGAGGTCGTCCCAGAAACAGTATAAAGTAAGGTTTGCTTATCAAGAACCCGACGAGGAGAGGTGGTTCACAAGAACTGAGCTCCTAGAACCGCTCCCGACATAGTACATGCCTACGAGAGGGCAAGGAAAGGTAAAAGTCCTATCTTGAGTTAGAGAGTTCTCGGAGGACCTCGAATTTAAGACGACGGGAGTGAAACAGTTTCACCCAGTTTACCTGACAGATGCAGGCAGTAGGACTCGATCCCTACACCTACGCATGACCCTGTACATTGACCCTATGACCCTATGTGAGATTTGAACCTGTGACCTGTTCCTAAATCCCGTAGGTTAGGTAGTTAGTCAGCGGTAGTCTGTCGTAGGTCTTGATCCGTAGGTCTTCGTATTAGCAGTTTAGCTTGTTACCGTTAGTCTTAGCTAGGGTTCTTCCGGAAGTCTCTACCTGGCCCTTCGTGAGTGCAGAAGTCAGTCTGTAGTGAGTCCTAGCTGTGTGTAAAGGGGTCAGTCAGTAAGTTTCTAGAAGTCAGTAGGTGGCTCTTTGGGGTTGTAGAGGTCTGTAGGTAGTTGCTGAGTCAGCGAGGTAGGGCCAGCCAGTCCACCTTGTCTAGTCAGCAACTGCCAAGTGTTGGAGTGGTTCCATGCGGTTTGAGGAGTTCCACGCGGTTTGGGGGTTCCACTCGGTTTGGGCCCCACACGTTTTGGGGACCCCACACGGTCTGGACCCAGGGCCAGGAACGCAACAGACCAGCCCACGAAACAGTACAAATGAAGCAGCAGCGCCCGGCCATTCGTTCATTCGCCTGCGAGCCTTGCCGAAGCGCTGCTGGAGCGACTTGTGCTGGGAGGTCTGCAGGTGCCCGTAGTGGAAGTAAGCTGAGGTAGCTGGGAGGAGGAAGACGACGGCGGCCATAGCCGCCCAGCTGCTGACGTTGACAAAGTGTACAGTGTGTGTGTGCGTGTAGTGTGGACATTGAGGGTGGACCCTCGTGAGTGTGTATATGCGGGAGAGTGAGGCTGATGGTGTAGACAGTGTTAGGCTGGGACTTCAGACAGTGTTCGGCGGCCATAGCCGCAAGTGGTAACAGTTGACTTGAGCTGAGTTTCTGGCCAGAGGCCATATCTCTGAGTTTTCTGTGTGGGCGCATGTCCCCAATGCAAGCTCATTGCTGATTTCTGAGTTGACGAAGTGGGGTTGCCATCGGCTCATACATGTATACATGTTGGAAGCGAGATTGAGTCAAGTCTGATTTCAAAATTATCCCCCCAAAAAAAGAAAAAAAAGAAAAAAAAAGAAATTGCATAGCTAACTTCCAATGTGTCTGATGCGCTGACACACTTTTGGCAGGTCCCAGCGCTGACATTTACAGGGAAGATTCGGCACCCGTGCTACAGCTCACAAGCACAAGAGGACAAGCTGTTTGTAGAAGTCGTTACGCGGACAGTCCTAAAGACAAAGTGCTTGAGGAGCCTTAAAGTCACTCAATCGCCCGGAATCTTCGCCTCGGAGGTTCTCGATCGGATCTTATCTCACGTGGGTCCATGGCTAGAGGAATTGAGCCTTGAAGTGGATACGAGCGCGGGCGAAATTGCCATCTTCTCCTTGGAGGTCCTCTTGCGGAGATGTCAGTCTCTTCGGAAACTGTACTTATCGATTCAAGATTTATACATTCAGGGCATCTCCATCAGCGAGGACGTGACTCGACTTGCGCTTGTGAGCAATCACATACATGAGGACAAGTGGCAGGAGTACGCAAGTTCCGAATCTTTGATCAGTTTGCGAGGGTCTGCGATGTGTAAAAGTCTGCGGCATCTGGAGGTCTGGGGAATGCTGTCCGGCTTCAGTGGCTTGGGAGGTTCGCAGCTGGTTGCGGAGCCTCTCACTTGTTTTGACCTCTTGTTCTCGCTGTTTCCGGATCTGGAGACACTTGTAATCGGGCTTCAGGATGGCACGGTCGAGAATGCGTCCATGGAAGTCACATCCTTACCGAAACTCCAAGAATTGACCGTGTCTGCGGCAACTGTGACGCCGCAAGGAGCGTCCTTTTCCTTCATTGACGCGTTGATTGTTGATGCTCCGTGGTTGTCGAAAGTCGATGTCAATGGCGTGTGTTCTCTCGCCATCAAGGGCAAGCCCAACGTAGAGGAGCTAAAAGTCGCAGCGATTTCTCATTGCAACAGCAGGCTCCCCAGCCCCAACTTCGACGGTGGTCCTGATATTGAGCTCGGAGAAGAGGTGAAGATCCACTCCCTTGTCCTATTTCGGACGACCGGCAATTGGTTATCGCAGCACGATCTTCCTTATGGATGGACATGGTGTCGGCTGAAGTCGCTACTGAACGAAAAGTTGCCTGCCGGGCTCGAGAGTCTTGTGCTGAAGGATCTCCCAATATGCGCTAATACCCCAGCGCGACTGTCCGTCCCTTGCAACAGAGTCATTGACACGCTGCTCGCCGATACGAACTTTGCGGGAGCGAGTTTTGCGGAGTCGACGCTCAATTTTGCGTCTTTGTCAGCGAGCGATCTTGCCGCATGTAGCTGTTTCCAGCACTTGAACCATTTGGAGATTCACGGGTTCTCGCTGATCAGCTTTGTGATGAGACCGGATCTTATGTCGGAAGGAGGGACACGAGGCTCTGACAGCGGTGTCAGGTCAGATGGCCGTGCGGGTCTGCTGCATGCGCCAAAGCTGCGAACGGTGGTTTTGCAAATAGAAGGCGAGGCAATGCGATGGGTTACGCCGCGCATTTGGCCATTGCTCAACTCGTTTTTGGCTGGCTGCCCAAAGCTGGAAGAGCTCACGGTGAGAGTGGACCGCTTCAGGCCGTTCAGGGGGGTTGATGAAACCTACAGTGCTCTGGACAAAGGCGTACGGGAGTTGGCAAAGAAGTGTGGTGAGAATGTTCTGAAGCTCTCTGTTGATTACATGATGAAGAATGGACAAATATACTACGATGATGAAGACGAGGACAGATGGCACGACGAAGACTTCTACGAAAGTGTGGATTATGATGGGATAATGCCGGAAAGTGGTGGGACAACAGATGTCGACGACTACGAAGGTGCAGACGAATATCAAGTAGCAGATGAAGGTGAAGGAAGTCAGGTGATCGAGGATGGAAACGAAGACAATGATGACGACGACGACGACGATGGTGACGAAGGCAACCTTACGCCTGGTCACAGTGCTGGCATGATTGACATAGATGGTGCTAGCGCAGATGACCACACTGGGATTCTAGAGTTGGATCTAACGGAACAATTCAGTGATTACACGGCAACAGGGTGGAGCAGACCCTTGTTTGATGGGCATCGATGTGTGAGCTCGAGGAGTCTGGCGACCACATTCATTGATTCCCAAGATGACATGTACGAAAATTACAGCATCGGAGATTCAGAAGTTCTTCTTGGGTATCGGGGATCATCTGATGCGCTGTCCTGTTTGGAACGGGGTAGCAGACATGGACTGCTTGCCTTCCGGGAAGAAGATGTTCAGAGCAATCGGTACGTTCCCACAGAGGACGAGAGGGATCTTGTAGAGGATAGCGGCTACGAGGTCGCCGAGGACTCTGATGCTGTGGACGACCTCGTCGTCCCGCAAAGGAGCATTGATGCGGCGATTTCAGGTCGTGACGGGGGAAGTCTTAGAAGGAATTGCGACGGGGAGCTAGAGAGAGGCCAGGTATGTGAAGGAAGTAACACGCGGAGAAAGCGGGAAGGGCGTCAGGGTTTGATTGCAGAGGAAGATGAGGGGTATAGCGAAGACGATTCCTCGGGGTTCGAGGAGGAGATCCACAGAGATCGGACAGTGGATGGAGGACAGCCAGGCACAGCCGCTGTGGAGTTTGGACCTTACAATGTAGATGCCATATTTCAAGATGAAAATCAGGCGGCCTTTGACTGCCTAGAAGACAGTCTTGAAGACGAGGACTACGGGCATGGGCCGTACGACGATGACGATGTCGACGATGATTTCTACAGCCCGGATATGAGTTTTTCTCGGGATAGTGAGTTTTTCTCAGGATATGACGAATCCGCCGAATCTGATTGATGTGGACGACGCGATGCCTCTGCCGATGTGCAGCCTCCATATTCTTTTTTTTTCCCTTTTTTTTTTCCTTTTTTTTCCCAGTCTCCGTACCCGGCGGTTTCGAGGCATTTGCAGTGCAACTTCTTGCATCCTTTCTTTCTTTTTCCTGGAGCGCATCCATTCACGGTGAAGGCCGGAATGAAGAATGCGTCCATCCCGTGATCGCCAGAAGCTCCCATGGTGTTCTCCATCGGATCGTCACCATTCCCTTACATGCGATTGCACAAAAGATGTCCTCTGCAGTGCTTTTTTTTTTTTTTACCGGCTTTCTGGTATTTGTTTTTCTCCAATGCAAGTTAAATGTACATACCTCCTACATTAATCTTTTTTCTCTTTATCGAAGCATATTATACTGTAGTTTAGTTAGTGAGTGCATCTCCCTCCTCATTCGCCACAAGATAGTACACGCATCTGCAGAAGCGACGGAATGCGGGTAGAAGTAACCGTAGAACAGTATAAAAGAGATGTGAGGAAAGGAGGTCAGGTCAGTCTTCGAGAACATTACGGTGTTTTTTTTTTTTTTTTTTTTTTTTTTCAAGAAAGGGCTACAGCATTGAGAATGTCATGCAATTGACTGGCCCTGGGTAATTCAGAAATGTAATATAATCAATAGTTATATATTATTATAAGTCTTATAATAATATTTCAGTGATTTACTCATTTGTTGCCACTGGGGCTTGAACCCGGGTCTGTATTGCAACCGTTCATGTGTGTACCAACTGAGCTATAGGTCCGAGTCAGTCGGCTCCGGAACATTAGTTAACATGAGGTAAATTGTATTTTAAGTATTGTTTTACTATTTTTAGCAATTATAATATTTTTTACTATTTTATAAATTTTATCCGTCGAAAATAATCGTGCGATAGGTGATCTGTACAATAGATAATGCGCTACGGACTAAAGATATATACAGAGGGTTCAGCCTCCTGACGAGTCGGTGAAACTCCGGCGAAACAGTTTGTCACAGCCCCTCGTTTGTTGTCCTCTTCTCCCTCTCTGCCTTCGTTTTTTTTTATGATATATACGGGATGGGTGATCGTCACTGTACGAGGAAAAGTGCCAACTCGTTGGGAGATGGAGAAAGGAGTGAGATAGAGAGGGAGGAAGAGGTGTATGTGAGCAAAAGAATTGTGGTGGAACAAGAAGGACAGCTGCTGAGTGAAGCAGCTAACGTAGTCAGCGTTGGTGGAGCAGCTGATAGGTTGCTTTTTTTTTTTTTTTTTTTTTTTTTTTGCCAACTTTTCGTGATAGAAACCTGTCAGAGTCAGGAAGCTTGACTATGGAAGACGTCTTTCTCGGCGCAAATTCTCGGCGAATCGGAGTATACAGAGGGCTTCTTTCAGATTTGGGTATCATGGTGGTCGCACACGTTTGGTGCTCGCAAACGATTGGTGGTAGCGCACACGTTTGCGGTGAAGGTGATGTCAACAAAAAGAAAACTTGAGAAGTTGCGAAAAGGTGTTTAACGACACACACAGGTGGTGGATGGGTGACAGAAGGGCGGACTAGTACACGGAGTGCGGCCGGGAGCTGGAATCATGGCATCAGGAGGTACTGTGCAGTAGAGGGCTTTTGATTTGCTCCGTTGGTAATTCAGGGTTAACCATTGGCAGAGATTAACAGGATGACGACGCACGGGAATATGTTGGCACATCATCTTCAGCAGGGTCAATTTTATGCGGGGNGAGAGAGAGAGAGAGAGAGAGAGAGAGAGAGAGAGAGAGAGAGAGAGAGAGAGAGAGAGGCAGTGGATGTTCCTGGGGTCTGGAGGAACCACTGTGGGACCAAGTGACAAAAGCTCTTCTAGATGGGATCAACGCTGTGCTGGGGTTGCTATTCCCAAGTGCTCAATTCAGTCATTTTTTTATGGAGCTTTTATGCAATTCATCTCAAGGGTGATTTCAGAGAGAGAGAGAGAGAGAGAGAGTCGCCGTGTGGCTTTCACAGGAGTACAGAGCGCCACAGAGAGAGAGAGAGAGAGAGAGAGAGAGAGGCTGACTTGTGCGAGGAGAGTGCAACGTCAATGATAAAGACATGTTGGAGGGAGAATGTTGTAGCTACCATCTCCCCCCGGATAAAACGTACGCCCAGTATCTTATATCTGACTGAATACTTCCGGAAATCAATAATTTTGGCTGGTTCTATTCACGGGAAGATGGTGGGCGATTCTCCCTTCAGGTGCACTTTCTAAGCTTTCTTCACAGTATTCTCATTGTGAATGAAGACAATGAACAGGACACAAGCAGAATGATACGTAAGGACAACACTTACTCTACGACACTGTATCACACTCTACTCTACTCTACTCTACTCTGTTGCATTCGTCTCCGGTGAACTCTGCGAGAATGATGTGTGCCGTCACTTTTTCAACATGACTTTTCATTCCTTAGTATCCTTACGTGATGATCTTAAGCTGCAGGCTCTGTTGTCATTTTCTCACTTTCCGCTTCTCAGTTTGGGCTTTGGTCCAACCCATTTTCCAAATTAAGAAATTGTGAAAGCATCTTGCACTCTAAACCACCACCTTTCCCCGCTTGAAAGTCAAATACGCGCCAGCATATTGGGGAGCCAAGTGGGGTCCGGTACTACCGGATTGAAATGGCTGGTGGCGGCTGCTTAAATGAGGCCTGCGGGGGTTCTTTTTTTTTTCGCGCGCAGGGTGAGTTTAGGCTCGGCATTGGTTGCTGACGAAGGTAATGGTGGTTCACACACCAGTGCCTTTCTGAGTCATTTTGCAGGGTGCGCCGTCTATGCAGGCGGGTTGGGCAGGGTCAACCCGGGTGCCGCTTCGCACGAAATCCACCCTGGACCAGACAAATCAGGCCTCTCAAGTTGAGCCTCACATGCGACCCAAAGTCCTCGGGCTTCCATCTGTTGGGTAGAAACTGCGTTTTGCATGCACAATGCGGTTCCGCAAAATGGCTAGGTAACGTACTCTGTTTTGTTTTTCTGACTAAGCAGCTATATCATACTTGCGGCGCACCGGTGCAGTGCGCCATGCGGTGCGATGCGCCTTGCGCCGTGCACGGATCTGAGATGCGAGCGCACGTGCGCACACCGCGCACAAAATGCGTACAGGTGCAGCGCACCGTGCAGGGCGCAACTTCGCTGGTGCGCCTCTTTTTTTTTTCTTTTGTGTGTGTGTGTGTGTGTGTGTGTGTGTGTGTGTATAGTGCAGGGCGCTACTTAGCTGCGGTCGTAAACTTTGATCGAGGGCAGCGTTGCCCTCGAATGTATCCTTCTAATTGCCAGGCCGGATACATTCATGAGCAGCAGCAGTTTCAAGGAGACAACGCTGCCCTGAATCCGAGTTCCCGCCCTCCTACCAAGTTCCCGCCCTGTATGGAGGGCAGTGTTGCCCCAAATGTATCCTACTCTACTATCAGGTCACATACAGTCATGATTGGCAGTGTCAGAAGAATGGCGAAAGACAACTATGTATGTCTGGAAAAACAAAAGCAAAACAAAACAAAGAAAACAGCCCGGGGGCCATCTCGTATCCCCTACTGACACTACTTTTTTCCCCCGAATACCTAGGCTACCAGAGTGGCCCGGGGTCACTTGCCCGGCCGTGCCAAAAACATTAAAAAAAATAAAAATAAACAAATGATTTTTAAAGTAATTTTTTATTTGAAATTTGGTGAAGAATTCCAATGTGACCATGAGGCAAACGTTGTTCAGTTTATTTTTCTGCATAACATAGTT